TTTGTAATTATCTAATAATTTTAATCAACCTGAATTGAAATAGATCTGAAGTTTAATATACCAAATACATTATTGTGTCCATATTAAATGAGATCAAACAATGTTAAATCTAATTAAACCACAAACCCAAAAATAAAAATAAAAAATAAAAATTACGGAACCCAATAAAACTCTGTTCCTACTCCCTACATGGTTGTGAGAGGGGACGGTGCAGAAGGGGAAAAGGACGTGTAGGAGACGCGCACGTACGTGGGAGTGGGCCCGGTTTCTGTTTTGAGCGATGATGAAAGATGAGTTTCCGTGGGTCCCACTCTTCCGCGTTGGTCCACTCACTCTGCAACATGTTGCTCTCTTTTTAAAGGCCCCACTCTTTCCCTCTCACTCGCTCTCTCACCTTCTCAACACGCCACCTCCCTCTTTCTTCATTTCTAAAATTATCAATTTCATTTTCTCAAATTATATAAAATAATTATTTTCTAAATTTAAATAAATTTAATTTGCATGATCATTTTTTATTTCAAATGAATATAATAACACTCATTTATTTATTTAATTTAAATGTTATAATAATCTATATATACAATAATTAAATTACATTAGTAATAAATTACAATAGATTTAAAATAAAAAATAAAAAAACAATACAGTTTGTTTATTTTTTATTAATATTTAAAGATTACTTTAAACAACTTTACTATTTAGAATATCAGAAAATCTGTTTATTTATTATTTTTTTTATTTTAACTGTGCTGTAGTTTTTTCAATTATTAATTTATAACAACTAAACATTAATTTATAAACTAAAATAAATACGCGGTTGGAGATAAAATAAATATAAATGTTTATCAGATCGAAGAATTTTACAAATCACTCAACTTTAATTCGAAATCAAATTAATTATAATAAATGAACGATAAATATAAATATGAAGAGTGACATGTTTCTATAAGAATTAAGAGAAATAATATATATATATATATATATACCATTGTTCTTGTTTAATTGGATTATTCAGCTTTTAATTTTTATAGTTATATATAATTTAAAACTGTGTTGTAAAGCTAAATTTAGTTATTATAAATTTACAGAAATGTAATTAAAAATAATTAGTAAATATAATAAACTATTAAATAATAGACATTAAATGATAACGCGCATATTTTTTGTAGAAAAAATACAATACTTATGTCTTTTTATCATATTAGGAAGTAGAATACTCTTAATTACATTTACTATAATAAGTAGGATAAGTGTTTTTTATATGATATAAATCATTGTTACAACAGCATGTGGATACATATGCCTAAGCAGAATTTGAATCTATAAAATTAATACAAGTTTTATAGATAAAAAAAACTGTAGGTATCACTTTTTTATTTATCATAAGGTAAATTTAAATACAAATTTTATGAATGTTTTTAGATAAAATAATGAGTGAGTTAGCGATTTAAAAAGCAGCATCATTTAACTGAGAAGACGATTCCTTAATATTGAGGCCTCTAACGGACAAATTCAATGGGCATTAATTGTTAGTGGGTCATGCATACATGATAAGTTCATTTTGGATACGACCATGCATGACCCCATCTTGGAATCGAAGGCAATGATGGATAAATGTATAAAAGGATGAATTCTATATTTTACTTCTTTATTATGCATCTGAAGAAAAAGAAATTATAAAAAGGTTAAAATGACAGAGTCTAAGAAAGATGAGTTACAATGGGAGTCATGATTTAAATTAAATGCACACACAATGCAACAGAAGGAGAAGAGAGAGAGAGAGAGGGGAAATTATGATGATGGTATGGGAAGAAAGAGAAGGGAAAAGTTAGTCACACTTTTCTCCAACTTCCATAAATCGCCATGTGGCTAAACTTCACTTACCATCTCCACCCGCGCACGCACATTACAAATTACAGATCATAAATATTTTACTCTTTCTCTCTCTAACACTTGCACAGTGAGTGTGACGCACACAAATATTCCATTTTCCTTAAAAGCATATATCACCAGTTTTCGCTATTCTCTAGCCCATAAAAAGCTTAAATGCAGCGAACAATAAATAAATAAACAAACAAAATGATCCAAACAAGGATTATTAAAAATATTGAATCATCAACTTTAAAGATTGAAATGTGTTGGGAGAAGACAAAGTGAAAGCTAAGAGTTAAGAGAGAGATTTGAATCAGTGTCACAGGTTGAAGTTATATAGAAGTATACAGTTTGAGTTTTCTTTTCAAAAGCCTTTCTTCTGTGCTCTTATTTATATTCATCGTAAGTAAGAAAAGCTTCCCTACCGAATATACGTTTTTCAGATAGCTGCTTTTTGCAACGCTTCACTGCTTTTCTTGCACTATTCAAATTCTTATCTTAACCCAAGTTTTGGTTTACAATTTTGTTAGAGTAGATGAGTTTAAAAGTAGGGTAAGGCGAGACACGTGTCGCGAGGGGGGAAATGGTGGAGGAAAAAGCAATAAAATATATTGTTTGCATAAAGAAGGCAAAGAGTGAGTCAGAGTGCACACTGAAAAATGAAACACAAGAGACAGAGATGGATAGATAACAGTGAAGAAAAGGGATAGGGATAGGGATAGGGATAGGGATTGAATGAGTGAATGAATAATGAAAGGATTGGGCTCAAGTCGCTTCAAAAGTATCATAAAGTTCTTCAACGGAATACCCACTTTGCACTTCCCTTTCTTACGTTACACATTTTCAATTCTTTTCCTATTTTTCAATGCTTCTTCTCTAAATAATCAATCAAAAGGAACCACAACAATACATAAATATTACATTCAAATTTCCAATGCCCACTCTTGGTACACCAAAGTGGATACCTAAACCACCACCACTTCATTACTATATACATATATAGATACACTTGAAACGTGAATTTGGGCACATGAGTCCTATTTTTAAGTAATTGTTAGTTGAATTTGGTGCTGCTTTGTGTGGGTTGTAGTTACGTTTCCATGGGGTGCATGTCAAGGCGATTCCCATCCAATTAACTTATATCTTGGGGTCAAATCAATGAACTGGCTTGCATAACTTTGGCATTGGTTTATATGTACGTGGACATTGACCCAAACTACCAACATCAAACTTTGTACTATTTTATTTATTTATTTCCATACACTTTAATGAAACTAGACCCACCTTCACCATGGATCATGTTTGGTTTAGTAAATGCTATAAATTGATTCCATCTACATGCGCCATGCCCTACCAAAATGAAAGCAAAAAAAAAATGGAACATAACTCCTTTTGGTCTGTAATTACAGGTTTTTGTTTTTTAAGCCTCCACAACATACTTTAAATTTTTGGAATAACAGAAAATATGTTGCACTTATTATACGTTTGTCTGTATCACCAAGTAAATCAAAGTTTCACATGGTGTTAATAGAAAAATAAACAATTACGTGTCTCCTTTGTTTATCACCGCTACACATTATAATTTATTTTTATATTGTTTTTTTAGGTTATATTATTAATTTTTGTATAATATTATTTGTTTTGTTTTTTACACACATCTTATGGATTTTTATATCAAACTGAATCAACTGTATTTTGTTTTTGTTTATTTTTTAAAAAAGTATACTTGTAATTTCCTTAATTGATCAAAATCAATACTTGAAATATCTCTATTTAACATTAAATACGATAAAATGTAAAGAACTTTTTATTAAAACTTTATTTTATTAACTAAGCTAATTTCAAAATTTTCAAAATAAAAAGTTATATTTTTATTTATATGCTACTTATTCCATTACGGGATACTTTCAACTATATATATGGATAACTTATTGCAAGTTCAAAACCTTTTGTAATTTTTGTAATAATAGTACAATTAAAAAAAAATCAATGCATGTTTCCGAGGGCAACTTAAAAGGGTAAGAAAAAATAAATTTACTCCACGCCTAGAAACTTACATGAATAAGAACTATTTCCCTTAGTTTTTTACAAAAATAGTTGAATGGGTATAAATATTTTAAACCAAATTTCCATATACTAATTTAGTTTGCCATAACTCTTTAATCAATGTACATGGTATCTAACGTAAAAATGATAAAAGTATTAATAATTAAAAATTGAGTATACTCAATTCTTTAAATGTACTAACTAATGACCATTTAATCTTTTTAATCTTATTAACAACAAAACATTAACTTTCGAATCAATAACACAATGAATATTTTTTTATCTAATACTTTCTGTTTTCACTTTTTTTTCAGTACACTGATTCCTATGATTATTACTTAACCATGCATGGTTCTAAAAATAGATGGTAGCAGTAAGTAGTAATAAAACTTAACTGAGAACAAACACTGTTTATTTATTTTTGAGGTAAACATAGGCACAGTAAAATCCAAAACGTTTGTAGGTGAGGTGTGTCGGAAGTGTAGAAGATTTAAGATGAGCTGGATCCACTCTTTCAGGAGCCACTCACACCCAACTTTCATAGTGTTATTACAATTATAAATATAACGACCCAAATTAACTTAAAAAAAAAAATAACAAAGTTATTTCCATGATACTAATATTTCAAGTTTATTTAGTGCCATAAATGCTTTGTTTAAAACAATTAAAAATACTCAATAAAAAAACAATTCTGATTAGTAAAGCTTTTATTGGCATTAATTAAAGAATAATTAAATACCCGAGAAATTCAGCGCGTAACAGTGACAAGGCGAAGACATAAGCTTGAGGCGCAGAACAATAGTTATTGTTTTATTATTGTAAAATAAAAATATATTTCTGACCCAAAATTAGTCTTCTCTTTCTTTCTCCTCCGATTCCTGCGTTACGTTTTGGTCGAATTGCGAACTCAGCAGCTCCACCTCCTCAATTTGTTTCACTTCACTTTCGTCTCAAATTCGATTCGAACTATGTGAACCCACATATGTCTCGCGTTTGTTGTCGTCCCAGTTGTCGTTGTTGTTGTTGTTGTGAGTTTGTTGGAGTGCTACTCTTCTGTTAGGTTCGGTTTGGATCTCCGAAGCATGAATCTGAGCAACGGAAAGGGATCCGTGTCAACGGTTACTACGAGCGCGGTTATGAAATCCGGAGACGCCGTCTCCGACCAGTTTCCGGCGGGTCTCCGGGTTCTGGTGGTCGACGATGATCCCACGTGCCTCATGATTCTCGAAAAGATGCTCCTCACGTGCCTCTACGAAGGTACCACACTACTACTCCATCGGTTTTGTTTCTGTTTCTCTCGTTTTTTTTTTCTTTTTCCTATTTGAACGCTCGGTTATTAATTGACCTTCTCAAAAAGTAATAAGAGAAAAACAGAGCAAAAATTGAAACCCCCAACTTAATTAACTACTTGGTGGTCAGTTTTTGTTTCTTGATTTGTTGATTCTTACTTTGAATCAGACTTTTGCTAGCCGTTGGATGTCAGATTTGTTTTTTCGTTCTATCGTGGAATTGTTGTTTGGTTGATGTGTATGCGAATTTTGAAGATTTTTGGTTGTTGTTGTGATTTCAGTTACTAAATGCAATCGGGCAGAGACTGCGCTTTCACTTTTAAGGGAGAACAAAAATGGGTTTGACATTGTTATAAGCGATGTGCATATGCCTGACATGGATGGATTTAAACTTTTGGAGCACATTGGGTTGGAGATGGACCTTCCTGTTATCAGTAAGTACCTCATTTGACCAGATTAGATCCGTTTGTTGTGGAGTGCATTGGTGTTGAAATTTACATGTTTTGTGTGATGGTTGCAGTGATGTCTGCGGATGATGGTAAAAGTGTTGTTATGAAGGGTGTGACTCACGGTGCTTGTGATTACTTGATTAAGCCTGTTCGCATTGAGGCTTTGAAGAACATATGGCAGCATGTGGTTCGGAAGAAGAAGAATGAGTGGAAAGATGCAGAGCAATCCGGCAGTGCCGAAGAAGGAGATCGCCAACCTAAGGCATCTGATGAAGCGGATTACTCTTCCTCGGCTAATGAAGGCAGTTGGAGAAACTCAAAGAAGAGAAGGGACGAGGAGGAGGAGGCAGAGGATAGAGATGACACATCCACGTTAAAGAAGCCGCGGGTTGTTTGGTCTGTGGAGCTTCATCAACAGTTTGTGGCTGCCGTGGATCAACTGGGAATTGACAGTATGTATCTTTTGCCACGGTTGTTGATTTTTTTTTTTTTTCTGCTTTTCAGTCTTTGTTGCATTTCCACTGAAGACCTATGTAATAGAACTTTTGATGCATGGTTATTGGGATTTTATGCGTATATTGTTCAGTTGTCACACATGAGTGTTGACTTGACAGTCTCCAAAATGACAGTTTTACCACTTGGGTCTTCAGATTTTTCGATACTACCATTGTCCGGACCATTGCAAGTAGGTTTTGCATGCTGTCAATTTTCATATTATTCAGGTCAGAAATATTAATAGATAATTAAGATCCCATTTTGGCTTTAAATCTACATCAGTAGTCAAGTCTTATTCCACAGGTTGGGGTGCTAGCCATTGAGCTTTATTAAAAATCAAATCACTTCTCTAAAACTATTTTTAGTAGTCTTTCTTAGTTTTTCTCTCCTACTTTATCATGTGTTCATTTGTTCCCCTTACTTTTTTTTTGTTGTATGTTCACTCATCCATCTTATCTCATCTTTTTGTCTAAATTAGTAATTTGCATGAATATTTTTCTTCAAAGACGTATGATGTTCTTGAGTTCTGCATGACTCATCTGATATTTGTATTCAGAGGCTGTTCCTAAAAAAATTCTGGAATTGATGAATGTTCCTGGGCTCACTAGAGAAAATGTTGCCAGCCACCTGCAGGTATTGTACTGTTACAATGTTTGTACTTGGGGAAGTGAAGGACTTGGGTTACATTTTTCTCCCTACTTGAAGGAAGTAACCTTTTTTTTCATCCTGTTTCATTTACAGAAATACAGGTTGTATCTTCGAAGACTGAGCGGAGTTTCTCAGCACCAGAATAATTTGAACAATTCCTTTCTCGGCCCCCAAGAGGCAACATTTGGGACAATTTCTTCAATCAATGGGATTGATCTTCAAACTCTTGCAGTTGCTGGCCAGCTCCCTGCTCAAAGTCTAGCTACACTTCAAGCAGCAGGACTTGGTAGGTCTACTACAAAAGCTGGTGTACCAATGCCTCTCATGGATCAAAGAAACCTTTTCAGTTTTGAAAACCCAAGGTTAAGATTTGGAGAAGGCCAACAACAGCATTTAAGCAGTAGTAAACCAATGAACTTATTGCATGGAATCCCTACCAACATGGAGCCAAAACAGCTTGCCAATTTGCACCAGTCTTCCCAATCCATTGGCAGCTTGAATATGCGAGTCAATGCTTCTGCTACACAAGGCAATCCCTTATTGATGCAGATGGCACAATCCCAACCTAGAGGTCAGATGCTAAGTGAAAATACTGGTCCTCGTGTTCCCAGACTTCCATCATCTTTGGGGCAACCTACTGTATCAAATGGAATTTCTAATGGCCTTCTGGGCAGAAATGGAATTGCTGGTAATAACAGAGGACCTGCATATAATCCTGTTCCACCCAGGTCTTCGATGATGAGTTTTCCAATGAATCAAAGCTCGGATGCATCTGTCAACAATAGTTTCCCTCTTGGCAGCACTCCAGGTATATCCAGTATCACAACAAAAGGCTCATTTCAAGAGGAAGTTACTTCTGGAATTAAAGGATCTGGTGGATTTCCAAGTTATGATATTTTTAATGAACTGCACCATCAAAAGTCCCATGAATGGGAGATAACAAACCCAGGCCTGACATACAATGCCTCCCATCATGCAAATCCTTTACATGGTAACATTGATGTCGCACCATCAGTTTTAGTGCATCAAGGCTTTTCTTCTACCCAGCAGACTGGCCAAGGCAGAGATGCTACTTTAATTGGAAAAGCTATGTTCTCCGTGGGAGAAGGCTTGGAACAAGACAACCTCCAAAATGCTGGTCAAAACCTCAATCCGCTTCTTGTGGACAATTCAATAAGGATTAAGGCTGAAAGAATTCCTGATGCAAGCTCCCAGACTAACCTCTTCCCTGACCATTATGGGCAGGAGGATCTGATGAGTGCACTTCTAAAGCAGGTTTGTCCTTCATCCCTTTATTTGGACCTGGAATATATACACCTGCTTGCATGTAACTTTCCATTATGAGAAAATCAAATTTCTTAAGTGTTTCTAATGTTGGCAGCAAGAAGGCATGGGACCAGCTGAGAGTGAGTTTGAATTTGATGCATATTCTCTAGACAACATCCCTGTTTAGAACAAACCCTGGCCAGTTCTGTCTGATTGCAGTTGCCAGTGTAAATAGTTTATGTTACACAAGCACATAATCATCCTGCAGTTAGCCATTTTGGAACTTAGTCTAAATTGCTCAACAATCAGACTTTGGTTGATGTCAAATATTGTAATGGTTTAGTCTGGATGGTCAAGATGAATCAGCTACAAACGTCAACTGCATATCTATATCTATATATATATATATATGCACAAGGCACGTGCAATTTTGACTGCTATTGATAGCAAGCTTCTAATTTTAGGGTGTTCTTGAAGGTATGTTGGCTTAGGGCAGAATTGCAGAAGCAAGGTTTTGATACATCTGCAAAGTTGTCGTAGGATCATTTCTAACTTCAAATAACAAATTATGGATTTTTTTTCTTCTGTTTCTTTTGTAATTTATGTCATTCATAGTAAGTAACGACTTCCGTAAGCTTGTAAATATTGCATTTGGCTGCTCTAGACGTTTGGTCTGGCCATTCTTTTCTGGTTGCTTCTGTACTTCGATACTTGTGTGCTTTCATGTTCATTATGTCATGCATTCTTTGTACATGAACTTGATTAGGTACTCGTGTGAGAATGTATAGCTACCACTCTATAACTATGCAATATGCATTGCTTTAGGCCTCTGCTTCAACGGCATACTTGACGAGGTTAGTCAACACCATTTGCACTATGATGGTGATTGTGCTGTTGCTCACGTGCCCTGGCTAGGGCAACACAATAACAAGGATTAGAAAAACTATTGTAGCTTGTTTAACTTTTTAGAGGTCAACGTCGTAAGCTGATTCATATCCCATTGCTAGACACGAACGTGAGAGCAAGATTTGATGCATTTACGGTCAATAGGCAAAAACTAACAAACCAGAAAAGACAAAAACAACAATTTTCCCGGAAATGGAATAGAAGAGAAAACAGCAACAATATCTTTAAGAAAAAAAATTAGAAACAAGGCAAACACAATCAACGAACATATTGGAAGAGAAGTTTAATAAGCATGAGTTGCAACAGCACACAAAGATCTATGTTTAGAGAGAAGATACTTCACTGTTATTCCAAAATATATCGAGCTATTTTCTCCCAAATTAATCTTGTGCACCCCAAATATTTTCTAAATCAATTAACTAACGCTTTGTTACAGTAAATTCTATTTTCTGTACATGTTTCGCTTCTGTTTCTGCTGTGTTGTCTTTCTTTAAAGGCCACTAATTGCCACAATATGCAGCAGCTAACGGAAGAAATTTAATCTTCAAAAATCTCCAACGCGCAAAAGCAACAAGTGTGTGAACTTTTCAACAAAAACTAATTCATAAAAATACATTTTTATCTTTAAATGTTAAATTATAATATAAATATTTAAATATCATCCCTCACTACTTTAACGTTTAAAGAAATGAAACAATATAATATAATAATTAAGTGAAAATTTTAACAAAATATTAATAAATATTTTTCATTTGAGTCCTAATTACAGAAGGAGGGATGATAATTTAACAACCTATATATCACAAAACAAAACAACAACAAAATTAGTATGATATTAAATAATATTATTATACGAGTGTAATTGATTATAGGATGAATGTTTGAAGTGAGACATCTTGTTTTGTCCCATGATGGTTCACCATCACACTTTTTAACTATGTGTCCATGAATGATACCACCACTACTTTCATAAACAATTGTCGGGTTTCTTAAAATGTATATAAGATCAACTTTTAGTAAATTAGATAAAAAAAGAAAAAAATATTTTACCTGTTATTTTTTTTTAAGTATAAACATTACAAATAGATTAAAAAGATTTGAGTGATATTGAAGAAGTCTGAACATCAACAATTGAGAAATGAAAAGAGTGGAAAACATCAAAATACAAAGTCACGATATATCCCAGAAACAAAATATTAAGAGGAGGTTACATTGAAGGATCTTTAAGTGATGTATTGAGAGATTTATGGGTATGATTCAGTTTTTTTTGTATGTCAAGTTATAAGTGACACATATCACTAGAATGAAACAAAAAGAAGTGGTTAAAAAAAATAATGGTTCGGAGACTCTAGTTAATAAGGTTTTTTTATATTTTTATTATTATTATTTTATTTTGTGTCGCCGGTTACATTAAAAATATATATAAAATAAAATAAAAGTAACAAAGGTATTTATCATATTGTAGGAAAAAACTTACATTCCAAACAAATGATAATAAGTATTAGAATTATTTTTAATTTGGATTGACATTTTAGTTGATTTTCGATCATTGATAATAAATTAGATTTATTTTTCTGCATTTAATCTTTTTGCACATTTATTTTTCAATAATTTATTTATTATTCTTGTAATTTACTCTAAATGTTTCACATTGTATTAAATATAAAAATTGTTTCAAATTTTATTAAATATAAAAATGATAAAAATATGTATACTAAATTTTAAATAAATTTAAAAATTTATCTAATATTTAAATAATTCATTGCCTAAATTTATTAATTATATCAAAATTATTTACACTATAAACACTTTTAAACTTTATCTAAGAGTTAATTTTAACAAAATCAATTTTAAAACTCAATCTTTTAGTCTTTGTTTGAAATAGCTTCAAAGAAAAAAATCGAATATCCAACTTTTGAGATCTTTACAAAAGATAAAACATTCACGTGTAACGTGTTCTCAAAAGTGAGGAAAAGAAAATTAATCTTAGAAGTTAAATACGTATAAATATTTTTTTAGATCATGAACCCTGTCAATTCCTCCTTCGTCCGTCCTGCGTATTCTTAAGTTGAAAAAAGAAGTTTATTTTGTATATTTGAGAGTCTGAGACAAAATATCTATATTTATTTATATGAGAACTACTTTAAATTTAAATTGTTTATGTTATTTTACACAAAGTTTCTTTTTTTTTAGTTTTTTACACAATTACTCAAGAAAATCCACCAGAAAAAGTGCAAAAGTCTTAAGATTGAAATTCATGGTCACCATTGCACACATAAACAAACAAAGATAGTTTTATTTATCCTTTCATTTTCTACTCTGTTTCCTTCCTTCTCCGTCATCTTTTTCCAATTTTTATTTGAAACAAAATACACCTTTATTCCACAAAATACGATTTTAATTTTTCACATTATAGTTTTTTTTTTAACAAAGTCGTATTTATATAAGATTTCACTTTTTTATATCTTTATATAATTATATATTTTTTATCATAAATATTAATTATTATTATTATTATTATTATAAATTATTCATAATTTATATTAATAATAATTATAATAATATTTGTTATTATTATACAATTATAAACTTATTATTGTATTTATTAATTTTATTATTATACTTATTATCATTTTAAATAAATAATAATAAAATTAATAAATATATTAATAATAATCAAATTATTATTACAATAATATTATTAATTATTTTTATTATAATAATTAATATTATTATTTTTTATATAATTATAATAATATATAATTACTATCATATTTATTATCATTTTAAATAAATAACAATAATAAATATACTAATAATAAAATTAATAAATATATTAATAAATAATGATACTATCATCATAATAAAATTATTATTTTTTTATAATAATAATAACCATAATAATAATAATAAATTTGTAATTGTATAATAGTAAAAATAAGAAATATAATTATAATTATAATACTATATAATAAAATTAATAATTATAATAATTATTTATTATCATAATTATTAATATAAATTATGAATATTATTACTATTATAATAACTAATAATACAAAGTATATAATTATATAAAGATTACAAAATATAAAAAAATTAAGTTGTATATATATCATTACGATTTCACTAAAAACAAAAAAACTTTATAATGTAAAAAACTGAAGTGGTATATTAAAGTACGATTATAATATTAAAAATAAAAAAAATGAAAATTATATTTTAAGATGTTTTTTTTCTTTTTGAAGTCATATTTTAAAATATAAACTTATCTACTTATATTTTTAAAATACTCATTTTAAAAATTTTAAAAACAAATTAGACCATTTATGAACTTTTGTCATTATTGTCATTGTATATAAAAAAAGATTGCATTTTTTCAATATCAAACAATATAAAAATCGACTTACTTTTCACTTTGATTCCTTTCTATATATTTTCTATTTTATTTTACTTTCTTAAACATGATATACCCTTCTAAAACCCTTAACTCAGAAATCACGTGTAAAAAATTTTACTTTCAAAAGAGAAGTATATTATTTAAAAAGTGATTTACAATTTAATTATATCAAATCGTCACATAAAAGATGATAGTAAACATATTTTTAATAAGCTGTAATAGATAAATAATTAATTAAATTTGGTAAATGTTTAAATAATATTGGGTTTAATTTAATCCTAAGGTGAGACTCTCTAAGTATATGTTTGGATTAGACAATGTAGTGTTGGAGAAGATGTTAAAGTTTGTATGTATTAATTTGAATTGATTCGGAAGTAAAGATGACTATAAAATAAAGGGAAAGACACTCAGTTATCTTTCAAAGTCCAATTCAACTTTCTTTTTTCTCTAATCCGTAGGTGGTAGCTCAATTCATATTACATAGGTGATATTTAAACATCTTTATTTTTATTAAAATTTGAAAAATAATATTTTGATAATTTATTAAATTATCTATCTTTTTTATTCTTTTCAATTAATTATAAACTTTTAATTCAAATTTTCTCCATTTTCTTTAATTTAAATAATCTTATTTTCGAATTTATTTCTTTTCTCATGTCCTCCAATTGCAACAAAACCATAATAATAATGAGAAAGAATTAGAAATCACCTACTTTTATTGGGGCTACCCGCTTTGATTGGATATGAGACAAGGAAAAATTATTTACACATACACCAACCAAGTCTTCAGCTATTAGGCACTCTTTTTTGGACGTGTAAAACAATTTTAATGATGTTACATTTAGTCCATAATCTCTTGCATTGGTCAAATGATTTCACTTCCTGTGATAACCAAAGACTAGAGGAGAGATTTACTCAGATAAAACGCAAACAAAGAAACAATAAACTTTTCAATAGAAAAAGGAATATATTTCTATCATCTAATCTAACACAAATCTACAATCCCCTGTACTATAACATGCTCGAAAGAATCACATATGAATTGAACAATGACTGCCACAGCATCTAAACCAGACACGCGTGAATGTTACAACAGCACGACTAAGTCCACTGAGTTTCTGTGGTGAGGCCAAAATATGAATCAAATCCTGTCTCGGGACACAGCAGACCAGAGCCTAAATTAAACATAGCCACTATCACCGCATCAAGAGGATCAGAAACAGTGATATAAGCATTGATGTAGCCAATGAAAAACCATTCCTAGAACCACTACTTGGATACACGGAAGGAAGAGAGCATTCCTCTCCATTGAAAAAGACTTTAGTGGGAAAACCATCTCCACGAGCCACATTGATTCCAGGAGTAAGTTTCTTTGTGAAAGAGATCACTGACTGTTGTTTACCAGGCACCCTAGGATCTCTTAGAGGGTCAGCTCCATCTGCTTCTGCTACAAGGTAGTTCAATCCTGGCAAACCTTGCATAATAATGGTATTGTTTACACCATCAAGAAGAGTTGCATTGAATGAATACATTTTCTCAAAACCTGCAGCTGCTTTGTCCATTTGTACTGCAGCAAACCAGTCGGCAAAATTGGTCTCACCCCAGTTAAAAAGTGTCACCCTTGCACTCCATCCTTTAGTGTAATCTGTGTACAAATGCCAGTTGATGCTCACACCACAGTTATCACTACACGGCAGCGGGTTTGGCACTTGAAGATGTTTCAGGCTTGCCCAAGCAATGGCCTTGGCGGTTCGATTTTCAAAAGGAACAAGAAGTGCCTCTGGTGGAAGCCACATTGCCGGAGCAGTAGTACTACATGTTCTCTCTGTATTCTTGGGGCATCCACAAGCACATGTTTTGCATGGAATAACAGAATCATTGTAATAAGCTGAAAATGAGACACAGCATTTACTTGATGTTCCCTTGGCTGTTGTAATGTTGCACACAACCTGCCAACTAGCCATCACAGTTTTATTGGACGGTAAGCCAGAAGGATCCGGGTTTTCCGTAGGACTCACTCTTACAGGCGGGCCACATTTATAGTCAGGGTTGAGTGTACCACTTATCTTCCAGTTCTGCGGTGGTGAAAGTTGGGACCGGTTAAGCGCCGGTGGCATCTTGTAGACCTGCATTTGGAATCTTGAAGCTGACATGCTAGGGTCCATGGAGGGCGGCAAAATAGTACCATTCCGGCAGCAAAAGGGAATCTTCCCAAGGTCAGAATCATTGAACTTGGTGGGAGGGAGATCAATTATGGTTGGCCTTCTCTCACAATTCAAAACATTGGCGAAGTCAAGATCCTTGTAGAATGTACCTTGCTTACCAAACAGACAATCAGAAGCATCCACGACAGAAGGATAAGCACCTTTCATTGTAAATATAAACTCATCATTCATCCAGTCCCAGCTCAACTTCCAGTTATCAAGCCTCCCAAGTGGGTTATGGTTTGCAATAGTAACCTCAGCCCAGTAATTAGAGTCATAGGTTCTTATCACATCATACATAATGCTAAGATCACCATTCTGACGTGGCAGAAACTCTTCATCCGTGGTAATGTTAGTTTTGAATTTGGGATCTCTCGTGCAGCACACACTACTCGCATTATTCCCTGAAAAAACAAAATGTAACCCCACCCCATTTCATTAATCGCAGCATTTCACTAAACCCGATTAATCAGTTCGAAGATCAAACAATACTAACCAAATAACCTAACTTCACTGCAGTTAAAAATTCAACTTTTTCTAAACAACATTTTAACAAGCACCTTAGCTACAATCACAGATCAAGGAGAATGACTCTACCTTGGGTGGTGGCTTTACGACAGAGAAAACCATCATTGGCAAGGTTGATGGATTTTGGCATCGGAACACTGGGCGGCGCCACCCCGAACACGGTGCCTACGAGGTCGATCTGAACCTGCATCTGGGTCAAGTCACCGGCCGTAGCAACGGCGGTCTTGAGATCAGTCATGGGGTAGCCAGCGAAAACAGTGCCGTTTCCGACGGCGGCGGGGAGGGTGGTGCCGTCAGCGAGCACCGCATTGGACGCAGAGACCAACAACTCGTTGTGGTCGAACCCCACGAAGACCTTCCACGACTTGAGCTCATCGAGGCCGTTGTTGAGCACCGTCAACGTCGACTCGAACCGGTACGGCTGCTCCGTCGCGTCGGAGACATTCGGAGGCAGCCGCAAGCCGCCGGTGTAGGCGTACGAGACGAGGATGCCGTTACAGGATTGGGCGTCGGAAAACGGGGTCGTTGAGAGGAAGATGGCTAACGTGGCGATGATGCTGAGGTAGCACCAGTGGATTGGGAGAAGCATTTTGGTCTGGGTTTGGACTTTGTAATTCGAAATTTGAACCAAGGGAGAAAAACGCGATGCTGAAAGAAATACGTTGATGAGAGAGAAAGTGATGGCCGAAAGAAACGCGCTTCAGGAATTTAGAAAGAAAGGGTCCTACAGCCTACAAGAAGCTGTAATCAGTGTTTGGCATTTGAACGTGTTCGGATTTTAGTTTTGTTTTTTATGTTTTTCATTACCGCGTTTCGTTTATTAATTCAAAGGACAGAGCAAGATCGGGTCGAAAACTTGCGATTGCGTTGCGTGAATCAATTAAAAATTATTATTTTCTTATGCAAAAAGATTCTGTTTTTTTGGTACAAAGAAGAAAAAGAGGCTGTTTACTTTAGTAGAAAAAAAAAAAAAACACTTGGTCTTAACAGCTCTATTATGTGCTTTAATTTGAATGGCTAGATCCCAATGAAAAGAGAGCTTTTTGCTGTTGCGTTTGTGGTGTGATTGGCTTAAATATGAAGAGTGGAACTTTTTTTAATTTGGATTTGGTTTTTATCATAAGGGGTCGTTTGGCATAACGTAATTGGGCCAAACCTACCAAGACAATCAATCCTGGTGGAATATTCTTGAAAATCTGATGTCCGCGGCTTGAGTTGCGGGCACGTCGATCTCACTCTTTGACCCTAACACATTCATCTTCTTCCTATAATTAACTCATTTTTAAATAAAGATTATAGGACCGTTGGAATAGAGAGCCCAAATTGGGCCCAATATCACACAAATAGCCCAGCTCCTTATTATGAGCATATACTCTGTGACCCAATCGTCTTGGGCAGAGGCCCAATATCACACAAATAGCTTAACTAGTTTTAAATGACTAACTCATTGTTAACACGGGAATAATAACTTATGAAATCTTCTTTGTACTTACTCTTATGTATTATTCAAGTGTTGAAAATTATTGTTCCTGGTTGCATGACTTTAATTGCAGCCATCTATTTTTAATTGCCACTACTTGTTTTTCCAGAGTAAACACCTAAATTTCACTGCGATCATTAAGAGATGAATAAATGCCGTTCTGTTAGAAATTTACATCCAAAACTTTTATTTAATTTTGCTTTCGTCAATAAACATGTGTTGGAAATACCAAATTTTTTAAGTGTTGTTATATGAAAATTTATAGTTCGTGTTATTGTAAAAAATATTTAAGATTTTGATTAAAGTGAAAATCTTCTTATAATATAATTTTAAAGTCATTTTTTAATAGATTTTCTCCTTTAAATCTATAATCTTAAATCAGGATCTTGAATAATTTTATTTTTGCTATGGGAGATTTATAATGATTTAATATAAATGACTTAAGAAAAAAATAATAATCTCATGACCAAACCATTAAATCCGTCACAAGATAATTTATTTGTATATTGTAATAATAACAAAATCCTAATATATTAAAAATAATCGGGTAATAAAATAGTTACATGGGGAATATGGCAGCCAACCAGAAAAGTGGCTTGTTCAATTGTGTAGCAAATAGACAAGATCATATAATGGTAAAAAAAGCATCTTTTAAAAGTATTACGAAATGTGTTAAATAAATAATATAACTAAAATAAAATTATTATCAAAATGTGTTATACAAATAGTATAACTAAAAAAACAATTAATACTAAAATTCATTCATTTACTATTTAATATAACGAGATTACTAAATTCTCACAAAAAAAAACAATATTTTACGAATAATTATTAAAAATTAATTAAAATTTTGTTTATATTTCTATTTTTACGAAAAATTTGTTTTTTTTTCAATCATTAATACGAATTATTTATATTTTATTTTGAAAATAGGTCTATAATAAGACTAAATCTATAACGTTGTGTGATGAAGTTCTTAAAGGTAGCAGCCCCACGTGGAACTTGCGTTTGCTTTGCGTCTCTTCCTTGCATTGCCACATTATCATCACTTGTAACTGCAAAAACAATCATCATCCAAACCTCATTTCATCCTTTCATCATTCATTTCATGTCATCATTCATTTCATGTACCCAACTCTCCCAATATTACTTAATAATACTCAAGCATTACATTAATAATATTATCAATCAATACAAATAAAAGAAACATCTTTTGTCGTGTTATCGACCTAAATTGAAACACATAAACACTAAAACGGAGGAAGCAGAGTTTTGTGTAGTTATGAAATTAATCTAATTACTCTACTTTGGTTATCATAACATAACATAGTTGGAACAGTGCAAGTGTTCAATTCAAACATGTCTACCCAGCGTGCGAAACGAAAACGTGTCGACCTCATCTTTTACAATAACTCATAGAACTTTTTTTAACCAAAAATTTATCTGGTGTCCGTTAACCAACCATTGATTGGCTCATAACGAAAAATGCATATTATTATAGTATAAAGTTGGTGGCGTCAATAAAAAGAGTATGATGGTAGCTTAAAAGATAAGAGAGTAGCATTCCTATTTCATAATCTTTACTCCACACACCACTCTTTTAGTACTGCTCACTACTACCCAACTTTTTCTCCCCGCACTTCACTTTGCTTTCTTAACCTCCTCTTCTTCGCCGTCCTAGGTAGTAGTCTGTGAAGGATGAGGTTGTCGTGTTTAACGTTGGTGTTATTAGTTCTGGCTAGTGTGGCAATGGGAGAGGATGCGGATCATAAACACTCCCTAAAAGCCACGTCACATGCGCAGATCCAGTGCACAATGTGTTCGTCCTGTGAAAACCCTTGCAACCAAGTTCCCTCACCACCACCACCCTCACCGCCACCTCCTTCCACCACAAACTGCCCTCCACCGCCGTCTGCTCCTTCCTCCGGCGGAGGAGGAGGAGCTTATTACTATTACACCCCACCTCCACCCTCTCAGTATACCTACTCCTCACCACCTCCACCAGCATCCACTGGGGGCGGTGGCGGAGGAATCTACTACTATCCTCCTCCCAGCAACGGAAACTACCCTAGACCACCGCCGCCGAACCCGATTGTGCCGTATTTTCCGTTCTACTACTACAGCCCTCCGGCGCCAGGCTCCGCCACTTCTTTGCCCTCCATGACCTCTTCTCTTCTCTGTGCAGTTACCTTCTCCTTCTTCCTGCTGTTGTGGGTTTGATAGCAAATGCAAGAAACGAGAAAAGAAGGGAAATAGTGGAAATAACGGCGCAGATTTGCAGATCTAGAGATTCTGAGGGAAAGGAGAAGGAGAGGTGAAAGTTCTCGTGAATTTCCCATTCTGCCCTGCACACACGTACAGAACCCACACATGTGAAGTGAAGTACCGCACGCACCCACACTTGCACAACGCTTATATTATTACATTACATATGTTTTCTCTCTGGTTTTCTAGTGGTAATTTGTTGACAATTCTTATGTTTCGTTACTATAAAATCAAAATAAATTATAACTAATTATGTTTTCCACAAGTAATACTAATGGTTAATTTAAGTTGAGTCTTTAATATATTTATCTTTATAAACATGAATTGAGTGTTGGGTTAATTGATTGATGATTCTTTTGGGTTTGTCTTGCTATTTTAGCCATGGTGAGGGTGGTCGCGTAGGGGGCGTTTGGTCATTTTACCTTGACTCCAATTTTGTCCACCACGGGCTACGGGAGCGTCTATAAATGAAGGGGTCTCTTTCCGTTGGCAAAAAATTAGACCCTAGCTTAACGTTCTTATTGTTTTTCTATCTTCCATTAATAATGCATCAAAATTTGTCCAGACCTTGTTGTGCTTACAAACGCTCTAAGTTTGAAAGTTTGAAAGTTTGAATAAACTCACCAATGTACAAATTATACACATGTTTAAACAAAATTATATACATCAACAAACACAATATTCACGTCTCTGAATTTAATATGAAGTTAGACATACTTAGTCTAATTCTTTTTATTCATCCTTTTCTTTTTATGAAATAAAATCATAATAGTATTAATATTATGTAGGATAAGCTTCACAGATCAGGTGCAGTGAGGACTACGGTAGCAAATGCCTCCAACCAATGAGGATCGTAAGGGGGTGTCAGAATGTTCTGGAACCTCCCATTTTCTGACATCACCATTTAAAGTTGAGTCATGGCTCAATAATCAAGCATTTTGGTTTCGTTGAGCATAAATTTGGTCAGGCATTAATTTTCTTTAGCCTGCGAAAAAAAATAGTTAAATTGAATAAAATTACATTTGTGAATACACTAATAATAGATAATTGTTGAGAAAGCAGTGTTTTGTTAAAATTTTGAGGGCAAATATATTTATTTTTTTCTTGACCTAAAAGTTATTGAATTTCATTGTTGTGGACATACGTGGCCCTAGTGTTGTCACAGGTATGTATGTTTTCGGCTTCGATGATGAAAAGAGACAGGGTGCATGCAGCATTGTGTCTTAATTTTAGGGAAATGTAACAGTGTGTTGTTCTCTGAATAATAATCATATTTTTTTTATTTCATATAAAAAGAAAACACATAAAAGGACAAAAATGTGTTAACAGGAATTAGCTGTAAGTCACGTTGGTGGTATTATGGTGGTGAATGGGCCCTCATCCTTCCCACTCTGCAACTCCCGTCATCCATGTCCAACCTCAATCTCTCTCTTCTTTTCTTTTCTTTTTTTTTTTTCTTTTTTTCTTTTTTTTTTTTGAATTTGAACAAGGAGTGAGACATTATGGCATGTTCAGACATTGGTTAAGGTCCAAAATAAAAGTTATAACAAGGATAAGAACTCAAATTTACAATAAAAAATTAAAAAAAAACAGACACATCAATTTAAATCAAAATTAAAAAAATAAAAATAGTATGATACTTCTACGTATGACCCGAAGAAAACAAAACACGCCAACAAACAATTTTTGTGGAATTATCTAAAAAGATTAATATTTTAAATTACAGTAATTTTATATATATTTTAAAAAAATAACTATACTATATAAAATTATGTAAGTTTCAAATCTAAATAATTATATTTTAGATTTAATTCAATTAGCTTTATTGAGTAATTTTTCCTTTTTAATTTATATTAAGTTTTTTAATAAATTAATTGAAAATAAAACAGCATATTTAAACAAAATATTTTGAATAAAAGCATTTCTTAAAATTTTATACTGCGAATTCTTGCAGAAAAATAGGATTACAGTTTTCTACTCTAGAAAGTGAAGAAAAAAAAATTCACATTTGTTTCTTACCCCACTTTAATATGGATATAAACTAGATTTTACATATTTAATTTAATTTCAAAGTGTAGTGTTTTATGTTTCCTAATTATTAAAATAGAATATATCTTTACAATATAAGTTAGAGCTTTTAAAAAAAATAATTAGAATAGATAAAAATTAAAATATGATTATATTAATCATTCTTTTTAACTTATCAAACGAGGAGTTAAAAATAAATAAGATAGTGTACATGTTAATAGATCTTAACTATATTAATATATTAGTATATATGAAATTAGATACATTTGTTTTAAAGAGAATATTAGTATTTATTGTAAGATGAGACTAAAGTTTAAATTCAGTTGTATTTTTAATGATTGAGCAGAGTATATATTAGAAGATTCAGAAATTTAATATCGAAATAAATGATAATTTATATATATTTTTATTTATTAAATTATTGAATCTTTTAAAAATAAAATAATAACATATTATAATTTAAAATGACAATACCTGATCATAACTTATGTGGTAGAGGAAAACTTTTTATTTAATTACTATTTTGGCTTTTTCAAGAAAAGTGTGATTATGAATTGGATTCTCAAGTTTTAATTGTGAATCAGATGTTGTTATCATGCGATTTTCATATTCACATAGTTAAACTATGTAAATTGGTTACTATAACCGTATAATTTTAGAGTTTTATTAAATTTTTAATTGGTACAAATCTGAGATTGCATTGCATCATTTGAAGCAAATTCAAAGTAAAGGTTGACCCTAAGTTGGAATATATTTTTTAAAGCAAAATTAAAATAGCTCTTCAAGATTTCTTATAATTTATACTTGCATCCCCTTCTTTTTTATATTACACAAAATTTCTCAATTTATGATCTTGTTATAATTGCATCTCCTCTGTTTCAAAATTTTCAGTCCTCCCACAACTAGAATTAGAAACCTTTCTCCTTCTATCACGCGCTTCATTTTATGTTCTACCACACGAAAACATACTATATGCCGAAGCATAATTTTGCAACAAAATTTGACATTTGTAGGTACTTTCAAATAATTGCTTAACTCTCTATTTATTAACATATTCATATATTTATTACGACTAAATTAACCACAGCATTATTGATGCATCACTTTTTTTACGCACAGAATTGTTGTGTTCATCTCATCATTATGTTTGTAATTAAAGGAAGACTTACATGTCAGTACATAACTCACATTGACCAAATTTTAAGACAACAATCTCATAAATTTTCCAACATTACTGCTAAGACAGCACCACGTTAGGTACGATGTTGCTGATTCATATCGTAGCAATAGTTAAATGACTGCAACTTCCAAAAATAGTTGTATTTGTGCTTATTTTTTATTCAATAACTTCTGTACTTACGTAAAGAAGAGATATTACCTATGTGAAGAAAACTAACTATGTGATAAAATGAGTAACCTAATAGAAAAGAGGAGAAAAAAAAAATGAACATATATAAATTATTGAAAGAACTTTGAATATAAAGAATAGAGAAGACACAGACCAAACTCAATTATTGCTGACTGTACCCTCACAAAAAGATGAAAAAAAAAAGGTTCATTTTTATTGATTGTCTCATTTTATCCCAGCCATTATTCTATAAATTCTTTACTGTGTTTTATATATAGATTATTTACATACGGCTTTAGGTTGTTTTATGTTGCAAAAATAATTTATTGTTTTTACCATAAAATTAACACAAAGTAATGTTTCACTTTTAGTACAGAGACAATTTATGTTACCTAATTTTAGTGGGACCAAAAATTAATCAATTTAAAAAAAATGATAATATTTTTGTAAATAAGGGACATAACTTTTACGTCGGTCCCTATGAGATTCAACATAAAAATCACATTTTAATTTCATCCAAGGATTTTTCTTCCTCTCGAGTGTGAGGGTTTTTAAGTGATGACCACGACAACGACCATTCCAGTTCCTTCTAAGATACATTTCGATTATAGTCACCTCTCCGCCTTTGGCCCGTCAAAAGCGGGGTGAGGCAGACTGACCCGTTATAGTCATGACGGACTGTAGACCTTGGCCCGCCCGCCAAGGGACGGGTTAGCGAGTCGGCACGCCATAATTTAAAAAAATAATTTATTTTTAAAAATAATTTTTTTTAATAAATTTAATAATAAGATTATTATTTATTTGTCAATAATTCAATATATATATATATATATATATTATTTTAATTTAATAATATAAATCAATTCATTGTTTTAAGAAATTATAATTTAGAATAATAATAAAATTTACGTAATAATAAATAATAACAAATATATATATATATATATAAACGTTAAAACTTATAAAATTTATATTTTTTATATTGAAAAATTCAAATATTTATATCTTTTTTATTTGATAAAACTTCACATTATTCTTAATTGAATAATTCTTACACCTTTAATTCAAGTCATAAGAATAAAAATAATCGGTGATTAGGATGAACAAGGAGAACATGAGAGAATGTTGTGTTTCGGAGAATATTTTATGTAAGAATGAAACTTTTTTAATTCTCTTTTTAAAATTTTTAACTTTATATATTATCTTTATAATTAATTTTATTACAATAAAAAATTATTTTTTTATTAATTAGGCGGGCCGCGGCCTGACCCACCTCGTCCCGCGGGTTGGCCCGCCGAGTTGACGGGCTTGGCGGGCCGGGCCAAAGCGGGCTAGTGGGCTGAAAACACCAACCCGCCGGGCTTGTCCCGTTTTGCCATCCCTACAGTCAACGACGAAAACACCTATATCGTGTCTCATTTGTGGTGGTTGACGTTTCTCTTGTTAGGAACACCTATATCGTGTCTCATTTGTGGTGGTTGACATTTCTCTTGTTAGGAATCTGAGTAACTGCATAAGAACTCACAACTAAAATAAAAGATGAGAAAAGAGAAACAAAACCAACAATAGGCAATAATAGAATTTTACTACTGGAAAAAATTACAATACCCTCTTTAAATATAAGGAGAAAACAATAATGATATTTTCTCTAACAAAATTAGAGACTATGCACCTTTCACTATGAATAATATTGCCTACTAGAACAACAACATAAACCGTAATTAGTACATTAGGTAAAATATCAGGAAAAAGAGGTAGATCACTAATAAACATACTTAAATATCAAGTATTTCCTCATAACTTTTTTTAGACATACATTGTCACACTACCACACTTTATATCTAGTAACAATAATAACTATTTTCTAATATGGAAGATCAGATCAATCGCAACTAGAGAGCATATCAAGAATTTTCTCCAACACTATCTTTGATACCACTGTTAGGAATCAGTTATCATAAATAAGAAACCAAACCAATTATTGGCTCTGATACAATTTTAAGGAATCAAAGTAATTGTATAAGAACTCAACTAAAATAAAAGATGAAAAAAGAGAAACAAAAGTAATAATAGACAATAATAGATCTGCATAAGAACTCACAACTAAAATAAAAGATGAAAAAAGAAAAACAAAACTAACAAAAGATAATAATAGAATTTTATTACTAGAAGAAATTATAATACCCTCTTTAAATCTAAGAATAAAACAATAATAATAATCTCTTTCAAAAATAAGATAACTCAATTACTATACAATGCAATAATAAAAAGGAAAAGGAAGAGATTTGGAGGCGATTTACAAAGTAGATATGATGCTCCTTTGTAACAGGAAAAATAAACACCAACCTATAATTTTTCCGATGTGAGACTTCTCTTCTCACACTCTCACATTTCTCTTATTAAATTCAAGTTTTAAAACATTTTTTTTATATTTAAGATTAGTGTTTTATGTCAACTCTTTTATATTATTGTTAAAAATTATACAAGAAAAACATCTTATTTAAATTCAATCCAATTGTCCATTAATTAATAATGTTTTGTGATTAAAAACAAAATAGGAATGAATTTCAATAGTAAGAACATTAAATAAAAAAGTGAGTATTTATTTTGTAATGCATTAGTTGGCAATAACATTTTGTTATTAATATCTTAATTATGCACTTCGGATCATTATCAATAAATAATAAAAAAATATAAAAAAATTATAACAATAATTAAGTCGGAGAATGTCCAAATCATAAATACATGTACTATACAAAAGATCATTATCGGTCAGTTACTAGAAATCCATCATTTACACTTAACATTATTTATTTATTATTTAGTTAATCTAAAGATTTCTTTCAACAAAGTTATCATAAAATCTTATAAAACAAATAAGTTATACGTATAAGTTAAAATTAATTTATACGTAAATTTAAAAAATTATACTAAAGAAATTTAAATTAAAAAAAAAGAGTAATTATTTTGAAGTATATATATATATATATATATATATATATATATATATATATATATATATATATATATATATATTTATTTATTGTGTGAAGTGATCCATTCGGTCTCTTTCTCATTTGCCAGATAATATTAATGCTGAAATCATTGTGCCAATTTTTTTAACCACGTGAAAAAAGTGAGAAAAAAAGGTGAAGAAGACCATAAATTTGTAATGTAAGAGCCGCAAAATTAAGTCAAAGAAACTAATAGGAGATAAAGATAGAGATATGAGGAAGATGATCATTTATTAACGAAAGAAAGCTCACCCAATATTTGCAGTTCTTTTCCTCCCTTTATTTAATTTGTGTCTCCAGCTTTCTCAACATTGAAAAAGACCCATTTACAACTAAATCCTCACACATACTCAATCCTTAAAAAACACATAGTTTATGCCATAAATACAAAATCATTAAATTTCAAAAACATTATATTTATCCATTTTAAAATCATTAAATTAATCTTCACTCCATTAAATTTTATCCAAGTACTTATATAACTCACGTCTCACATTTTATATATGACAGTAATCCTTCACCATCGTGAAGAGATTGAGAAAATAATTGATTATTACATCATAATAATTGATTATATTAATATTTTTAATTAATATATTTTTTATTTGTTTAATATTATATCAATAAATAACTAAAAATATATTAAAATAATAAATAAATTTATTTAACTTTCTACTTGTGTTTTTATTCAAATAATCTTACTTATTATATTTTTTTCACATTTTCCACTCCTTCAAATCCCTTTTTTAATTCAAACACAAAAAAAATATAAAACTATTTTTTTAAAGATATTATGAGATATATTATTTTTTAAAAGTAATTTATTAAAATATATGAAAATAAATTAAATTTATAAATATTATAATTAATTATATGTAATATTTTTATAACATATATTTTTATTAGATAATTATTTTATTATGATATGTTTAATAAATTTAAAATAAAAATTACAAAAATTATCTAAATCAAATAATAAAATATTGAGTTGGTTTGTTTTATTTTTTTTAAATTGGTTTATTTAATTTTTTAAGTATAAAATCAAACCAAACCACCTGCTATTTTAGTATTCAACCCGGCATGGAATAAACGAGTAATAAAAATGGAAAACATAACATTTTTTCTCTTTCATTTTAATTTGTTCTTTTTTTTCTCATGCTTTTCACCATAAAATCAAAATAAAAACATTTGCATTCTATATAATGTTTTTAGATCTAACGATGACGATGATTTGTGATATATTTCTCTTTTTTATATTTTGAATGATTGCATGCAAGAAAGACAAGAGCTTTAAGTTTATTCATATGAAATCATTCCACTCATTTCTGATTAAACAGTTAATATAATCAAAGTATCAAAATTTATAGTAAAAGAAAGGCAACAAAATATTGTTTGTGCCCCATTAGGATTCTGTTAGAGAGAGGATCAAACATGAGATGAGAAATTGAGGTGAAAATGATCATGGTAATATGATATTGGGTGAGATTGAAAAAGAAATTGATACATCTGACCAGGATAATTAGATTTTGTTGAGAAGAGACTGATTGAAAGAGGGTTATCCTGTAATGGGGTAATTATCCAGTTTATAATACTCAATTGGTAAATTGATTAAAAGGTACGGCTGGTACTTCTCTCTGACCAAAAAAGATCAAAGCCGATGTCAAACAAATTCCTTTCCACTACTCATGTCATTACTCTTTCCCAAATCCCATTTTTTTTCTATACTCAAACTAGCGGGAACTATGAATTTCACCTTCCCTCCTCTTTCAAATTTCTTTCCTTTTTCCACCAATTCCCACCCTTCAACCTTTTCCCATTAACAACAAATCAAATTGAATCAATTAACCCCACATTCACTTACATTCGATCATTCAATTGATTTAAGATATGGGTATCCAATTAAACGCTCGAATTTCACTTTATCAATTCATAGATCAAAACTCGGGTTCATTATTTAGGCATTTGATCACTTAATGCTTGTTCAATTGAATCAAATTTAGTGAATTGGAGAGTTCAATTGTTGGTCCAACTTTCCTTCCGCTGCGCCGACAAACACTGATATGTTGTATAGTGAGGTAAAAGAAAACAAAGGCACAAGTAGATTGAGAAATAGAGGACTAACTATATTACCAAAATTGGACTTGAATGATTTCATTTCTTACAACTGTTGACAACCAACCCACACACTCAATCACTCAATAGAGAAGAAAACTAAAACATATACACTTCTGAAAAGGTTAGGGGAACATCCTAAAAACAAAATCTAGATTTCTCCTTAATAATTCTTCTTCTTCTGCATCTTCTACATCAATAAAAATGATTAATTTGGTTCAGGCATAAACGGATCCGTAAGAGAGCGACATCAAAAGCACCGCAGCTTTTTCTTCCTCCCCGAGTTTCTTCCAATGCGATCGGTGCAACAAAACCTCCCTCCCCAACGCGCCGCCACCAATAGCAGCGGCGCCGGCGGTGCCACTCCTCTTCCCCTTTCTCCCATCCTCGTTGCTGCCCTTGCTTATCCCGAGAATCGCTCTCTTCTTCTTCCTGCTTCTGATCCCGCACGCGTTGCACAGAGACTGAAAAGAAATGATAAGAGAGTGAGATCAAGGGTTTATTTGAGTCCACGTGGCGCGATCTGAGACATGGAGAGTGTACTGACCTTAGGTCCTGCAGGACCACCCCTCCAGAGAGGGGTCTTGGTGGTGCCGCAATCGGCACAGGTTTTCTTCAGCTCATTGTTGCTGCTTGGACTGTTCCCCGAGGAAGGCGCGTTAGGGTTTGAGTCCTCACCTTCCGATCCCTGCAAAACAGCCTCCATTAATCAAACAAACCCTAATCAGAAACCCCGCAACCACCATAGCAGGTTAACACTCACTTTTCCAGTCGGATCCACCATTCTGATCACCGAGATCTGAGATTCGATTGGATTCCAAGAAGATCACTCGATTCCACGGAATCAGAGTGAAGGAAGAAACATGCGGAGGAAAGAAGAGTGTGAGAGAGCAAGAGAGTGAGCGTTGAGAGAGAGAAAGAGTGGGAAAAAGAGTGAGGGAGGGAATCGAAACGACGACGCTCGCAACGCAGACACACGCGCACCAGCCGCAGCAGATCTAATCTTAAAACACCAGACCTTTATAAATGGGACGCCAAAACCCTAACTCCCGCTTCTGTAATTACCACAATACCCCTTCCCTCGTCTTCTTTTCCATCACCCGCCAAAACTCACTAAAACCATCCAAAACGCGCCATGCCTTTCCCTCTAACCTTTTCTTAATTCCAATCATTATTTCCATTTTTTAATTATTATCAATTTTGGTTCCACCCTGTTCAATGGACAATTAGTATTAATCATTTGGACATGCTTTCCCAACTTTCCTGCACTTCTCTTTTACTTTTATTCTACTCACATTAACCCTTTAACAACACTCCATAATATATCTCATCAAGTTGTATAATTTTAGCTTAATCTCATTCCGTAATTTTTTATTAAATAAAAGTACACTATAGTTAGTTTTTATTAAAATAAAATATAAAAATTAAGTTGTTTTATGAGTGACTTATAGGAGAATTACTCTACTTAACTATTTCCTATAATAACTTTATGCTCCCTTTAATATAAATAATGTAAAATGTCATTAATTGAGTTAACAGACTCAATGAATCATTATGGAAACAAATATAAATTTTTGAAAAATATTAAATGCTAAACTAAGTTATTCTTAAAACATATGTAATACAAGTGTTTATTAAAATATTTAAGTTAAATATTAGTTAGTTGAAATAATTTTTTATTAGAGAAATTTTGATAATATGATAGATTACTTGATAAATTTTGTTCATTATTTTACAAACAATTTATAAAAAGTATTAAAATTAAATAAATGAAGAGAAACAAATAATTTTTTTCAATAAAAACTTATTAAAATAATTAATTAAGAATTATTTAAATATAATGTGAGCGATAAATTTGTATTTTATATTTTTAACAAGAAAAACAACTCACGTACAATATAAATAATCTAATAATAATTCAGATAATAAACTAAAACAATAAGATGATGTAATAATTTAAATTATTAATAAGTTGTTTTACAGTTATAAATCATAATTAGATATTATACCATTATACCTTAAAAAAATTCAACATTTTACTATTAAAAACATAAGTATAGTTATTTTTAAGATATATCAAATTTAATTGTTAAACATAAATTCATAAAATCCATGCCCAAATACCTCCAAAATGAAAGCACTATTGTTTAAAAAAAGCTACTAAGATGGTGACAAATTTAAACCTATATGACCAACTAGTATTAAAGTTTTGGCTTTATAGAAAGTGTGGTCTCTCGTTCTCTGTTTCTTGTGATTGAATTAAAAATAAATGTAAAACACAATTTAACTTATTTACCCACATTCAACCACCTCTATTAACAAAAATCAAATATTCTTTGTTTTGTGAATGCAGTGGAAAATCACCTAAAAAAACACTAAATTGGTGGTGTATTAATTAAACTCATTGACACATGGTATCTAAATATAAAGGTGTCACGAGTCCACATAAGTTAAATTTATTAACTTTCAAGCAAGCTAGCAACTTTAATTTTAATTAACCAACAGTCATACTTGCAAAACAAGAAGACCCCACCAGACAAAGAAAAGTGAAAAGGGTGAAGGGATGGTTACGAGACACATTTTCTATAAATATTTTTCAAAGAAATGTTTCAAATAATCAAAATATTGATTTGATTAATAGTAATAATAATAAAAAAACTTAATTGTTATAAATTATAAGCTTTAAGTTAATTTATATAATAATTTGGTAATGATGTCATATATATTTAATTTTGTTATTTTAAAACAGTTATTATTTATTAACATAGTATAATTATATATAAACATTAATAAGGAAACACTTTTCAATAATCACATATTTAAATTATCCCAAAATTATATATGAAAATATTCACAGAGAAGAGACGAGAAAAAACAGAAGAAGAGAAGGAATTAAGAACTATACAACCTAAATTGTTTAAGACATTATGCGATTCACACACTACACAACGCAAGTTGAATTAAAGGATGATAGGAACATAAGTAATAAAAACAAAAGTTTATTACACCGCAATATTAACTTTATTTCGACAGTACTGAGGTTGACTTGTATGAGAACATAAAACTTGATTAAAAATAAAATACATTAAATAAGAATGAGAAAAAAATTCTTAAAGAAGAACACAAGACAAATTGGGGAGTTAAAAAGCAAATGTTGGAATACCTTTCTGGTTCCTAAAGGATGCTCTCTAGCCTCTTTTGGGACCACCCACCTATATTGAACTACTCAACTCTTCACCTTTTTTTCATTTTTATTATGATTCAATTTCATTCTTACAAGGTCTCAATTTTTTTCTATCATGGGTCCACTGTCATTGGAGAGGTGTTGTGAGTATAATTTGACACAGCACCAATCAGTATACAGCTACTGATTCACTGCATTCACATTGGTTGAGAATTCACGTGGAGATTAACTGTAAAAATAGAAAGTTGAATAATTTATAAATAACAAAGATTCATAATTTAATACTTACATATTTTGAATTCATCTTGACATAACAACAATGGAATCAACGCCTATATTTTTAACTTTTGAAAGAGAAAATGGTTTTTGAAACCAAATTTTCGATGCTGTAATTTGTTCTAGAGTTGTACTTTAATACTATCGTTTTCTTCTGCAATGAAATAGGTAAAGATATCTACTTTCTGCTCTTATGTTCTCTCATAACTCTTCACCCTTTTAAATTTGTATGGAAACCCTTTTTGTCTCATGTTTTTATGTTTACAAGGATCCTAATCTGATACTTGTAACTTCCCTGTATTTATTAGAAAAGAAATCCTGTAAATGTATATAGTAACAGATTGAAGAGCCATATGCTTAGTGGTTATGGTTGGAGTTTATTAGTCTATTTGGATGTCAAATTTTTAGAAAGTAATTTATTTTTATAAAGAATTTAAATAAAAAATTTAAAATTTAAAGAATTCATGATAGTGTTTAATTAATAAGAAAATTTTAAATTTAACTACAAATTAATAATTTGAAATTTGTTATACTTTTTTTATCTCTCAAGTTTTAAGTGTTTTTTGTATTATTATTAATTATGTTCTCTCTAACACAGATTTGATGGGGACATTTGTTAGGTAGGCTGAAATGGGTGTTGTCGATTCAACATTATTTTCATGTTAGTAAGAAATTTATTTGTTAACATTAACTTTTCTGTTTGGACTAGTAATACTAAACAAATTTTGTTGAATTCAAACTTACATTATCTTTGGATTATTTTTAGTTAATGCTAGTTATAGTTACTTCTTAACAAACTTTGATTAAAACATAGATTAAGGTCATATCTTGATTAACATTAACTGAGAATTTTTTCAATCAATATTTGCACAGTCATTCTTCAACCAATGTTAATTAAGATTTTTTTTTTTTATCGATGTCAAATAATTTTTTTTTGTCTGTATCAGTCTTGATTTCTTAGTCGATACAAGTTATTTTTTATTGACATTAACAAGATTATTATTTAGTTATTTCTTGATTGATACCGAAAAGGGTTTTCTTCACCTATTTTTTGATGAATCGTTTGACGTTTATAGTCATAATTTTTTATCAATATCTATAGATATTATTATTTTTATGAACGTGAACAGTATTATATATTGTGGTGATAAATTTTTTTCTTAATTTAGTATTTTACAGTAATTAAAATATTATAAAAAATAAAATAAAAAATTAATAAATTTAAATTATCTTAACTAGACAAAATATTTGCAAAACTAAAACTTGAAATTTTATAGTGCTGTTATGCCGTTTGTTCCTGTTTAGCTTGTTTTTGTTTCTCTTCTTCTGCGAATTTGTTTTTGCATTGATTATAGTTTTGACTTGGACAGTGGATTTGGAATGCTGTCTCAGAGTACAGATGTTATTCTTTTTATTCATGTTACTGGTACCTCTTGAATTGGCTCAAAATGGAACACCTTGTTTTAATAAAAATAAAAAATAAAGAAAATGTGACAAAGTACGTTACAATGAATAATAAACAAGAGATTAAAATGTTAGGAGGAGTTGAAAGATCTCCTGGTAAACAAATTAAATTACAATTATAAAGTTAAGATTAAGTAATTGTAGGGTAATAACTCTCAACATACTTCCATTATGGAAAATCTCCAATTTGAGCATTCAATATAATTATATTTGACAAAATCCTGCAAAATATAATATTTTATTATTGACTTGAACGAGTTATCAATAAAATACACAATTTTATTATTAATTTTAGCATCGGAGTGATACTTTGTAGTTACTTCAAAATTGAGAAGCAAAATATTCGGACGATCACATAAAAAGATCATAATAAATCAAAATATTTTTTGAGAAGCGATTAACGAGAAAATTCAGACAATCACATAAAAGATCATAATAAATCAGAAAAGAAGGTTGATGCTAGATCTTATAAGACGTCACGTCAATAAGACCATACGTTAGTAAATCATAAATAAAGGTTGATGTCCAATCTTACAATAACAGTAATTAGATCATCAATTTAAATAGTCACCTCAAAAAGATCACGTACTAGTAAATAAAAAATAAAATAAAATTAATATTCGATTTTACAAGAAGTTAAAAAAACACACTAGTAAATTAGAAAAAAAAATTGTTGTGGGTTCTTGCAACAACTGTAATCATCATACTAACAATAAATTGAAAAAAAAAAAACCAACAATAAATTAACTCAACTTGAATATATAAAATTATCGTACAAAACTCATAATAGTATAAGTAGAAATTTATAAAATTAGGTTACCACTTTATATCATTATTTTATTATCTCTAGTTTATTTGAATCTGTATTAGTCTTATTTGTGTGTATATATATATATATATATATATATATATATATATATATCATTATTTTTTCATTTCAATGAAGATGAGTTAGATAAGTGTTACATTTACTGAGAAAGTAATAATTAAAAATTTTATTTTTTATTTTTTCAACATTATTATAATGTACTATTTTATATTATTTTAAAATATAAAAAATAATAATAAAGATGAAAAACACTCCTCTTATTTAAGAGAAAAGATTTATTTAATAGAAACTACATCTTAAACAAAATATGCATAAAAAATGAGTTTATTCTTCTGTTTTATATTTAGGTTGTTAAACCATGTTTGATTTTATTTTAATAGACCATTCGTTTAGTCAAAGTGTAAAAGGTTTATCATATACGCTCCCCACGCCACAACTTTCCCTCCTACATTCCCTCCTCCTTCTTCTGCTGCTTGCGTTATCTATTCTGTTAACCACCGTGCCCCACACCATTTTGTTTTCTTTTTTCTCCCGTTCCGTGCTTGTCCTTTCGGTATCAGTGATACCACCAATGCCACCATCACTCCCTCCGAACATAAAAACCCATCCACTCACTTGGTTCATGTGTGACCATCATTTCAACAAAGGAGTGGGACATAAAAGACAGTTGTGGCAACAGATATGAAGACGGAGGGAGCGACGAGAGTGGATGAAATGCATGATGGAGTTATAAAGTTAAAAATTAAGATATAAAACATTGAAATCACAAATAAAAATATTGAAAACATGCGATAAAATATCCAACCCGTGGTCCTTACACCATTATAAATTGCTACGAGATTTGATTTATTTCACGCAGATACTTTTAAATATGTAAAGAAGGAAAAATTAATATGTAAGTAACGTCTAGAAATGTTAAATTGGTTAACGAAATACAACTCGACAAAATTGTGATTAACTGCGGATAAATGAGTTATTAAAACTTTATAAAATGCTATGTAAAATGAATTATCCATAACCTACTAAATAAATAAATTATAATCTAAACGTATTATCTACTATGTTATATTGGTAAAATTCTTTCAAAAACGTATTATTATATGTTAAGTAAAAATGTACAATGAAATAACAATTATGAAATTCATATATTTTATAAAATACTAAATACTATGTATGTAATAAAACAATAGTCAAAACAATTTTAACCAAAAGATCATTCCGCCGCCTGTTAATTGGTTGAATTGGAAAATTATGCAGGCTAACACAACTCATTTTGGATTCTACAAACAAGTAGAATGACCCACCTGATTCAATCCACTTTGACATTATAATAACGTCACGATGAATATAGTCACGCTCCATTTCACCTGGACACACTACTTTCTTCATCTGGAGAAATTAATGTAAACTTTGAATTATAATACCTGAAAGATGGTCGTTTGGGGTGCTTTCCCACGTCTACTAGTGAACCTGGAAAATTCCTCGCATTGGAAGAGACAAAAGCTTCGAAATCACGCACAAAAATAACACTAATTCTTTGATTGGATTTGGAGTAGACCACAAAATTGGTTTCGGCATAATATATTTACCCAAATAGAATATTGACCCCGTAAATCTTTTTACCAATACAACTAAGGACTCGATAAAAGTAACACTTAAAGCCGCATTGAACAAAACCCCCTCGCCATATAGGCCTGTGTCCCTACCACAGCAACATAACAAAACTCTTTCAGATATTTCTCACCAGCATTATATATTTTTAATACAGCAAACACAGCTGAAAAGGTCATGCTGCTGTTGAATCCACCAGACCCTTCCAACTGGGGCATGGTAGCATAAACTGACTCTCCCAGGCACCTCATTAACCACGAAGGACACTGGACCAGACTGTAAGCAGACACAAGGTGCAATGACTGACCACCCGGTATAAACCCTTACTTCATCCAACAAGCCCCTACAAATATTGAAATCAAATAGTTTAGAAATAATGCTGAGGCTACTTTATACAAAGTGAGCCTAAAAGTATATATCATATGATTTCTGATCTAAAATGACATAGCGCAGTTACCTTCTCAGGAAAAAGGTCTTCAGCTGAAGTTGAATCCACCAGATGGGACTGGGAGCTCACTTCCAAAAGCAAAACCATGTTGAGCACCATCTCCTGAAGGTAGTGTCTCATCTTCATCTTCCAACCAGTATGTTTCAAGAATTTTGACAGCCTTTTCATATATTTCGTTGTTGTCATGACTCTGGAGGTTTTCAATCTTCTCCAATCCCTCAGCATCATCTATCATCTGCGCATACAAGTTGACATCTCCAGAGTTACCTAGGCTCTTCTCAGCTTCTCCAACCTTCAGAATATTCTCTAGGCCTTCTAAACAGACAGTGACAATTCTTGGGTCCGGGCAACCAAGAAGATCACAAAGAGGCTTTATGCAACCCTGATTCACCAAGTACCTTAAAACATCATAAGATTAAGTGAATACCATCATAAAGTCACAAAAAAGTAAGAATTACAAAGAACAACCAATCACAGGAAATCACATACTTAATCTGGTCATGAGTTCCGCCAGATGTAGCATTTGAAATTGCCCAGGCAGCTTCCTTTTTAATGTCAAACTCAGCATTTTGAAGAAGATTGACAAGCGGAATAACTAGACCAGCTTCAATAACAGCCTACATGTATAGAATGCACAAGTTTTTTCAACAAACAAAATGAGAAAACTCTGCACTTAACAATAGTGTATATGTATAAGGGTGTTAGTTCATGATTCAAATCATGAATTGCAAGGCTTATTTTCTTATTCGTGAATTGTTAGATTCATGACCGACAATTAAGATTCACATATATCGCTAACAAAGTCATACAAAAGCACTAATTCATTATTCATGATCATGATTAATAACAATACACTTAAATCTGAGAACATTTTAACACAGAAACGTAACAAAATATCATGATTAATAACAATACACTTAAATCAATCTCCCTTTTCACCTAATAATAAAACAGCAAAGAGAACAATAAGTGTATAGAGACAGCGTAATCAAAGAGAAGAGTCAACTATAAAAATACCAGGATTGAGGCAGGGGACAGAAGAACTGTACAGTGTGGGAAACAGAATGGAGAAAAAAGTAGGGTTTCTTTCTAAAATAAGGTTCAGGTTGATTATTTCATCCCCCCTGGCCTCATTTTTATTAGAAAAAATGACGCATTTTCAGAACCAGGTCATGCACAATCTGATCCAGTTACATTTGTATGCGCAACCTAGTCATCAACTGAATTGTATGATGCAGAAATTTATAGTAATCCAGGAACCATTCAGCCAATTCAGCACCCAAACTTGTTTCACGTACCCAACTGTATCACAATTCTTGCAATTTTGACAACCAAAACACATATACAAAAAGCTCTGCTTTCTGCAAGTAAAAAACAAAGCTCAACGCCAAACAGTATATTTAATAGACACCACTTTTTTCCGGGGGAAGCGGGGTCGCTAAATCGATCATCATTCTCTCCTGATGGTATATCCAATGACTACCTAAATCTAGGTTATAATTCCACCATACCTTCACCTTAATTACTCACAGTGTCAGAAGCATGAATAAATCTACACTAACAAGCTATAATAAAATCCTCTCAACGAATTAATTCAATTTAACATGTATGCAGATTCAAGAAAACAAAATTACCAAAATAAAACCTATAAAAACAGTGACAATTGGCTTTTTGGCTTACCTGTATCTGTTCCTTATTTCCAGCAGTAATGTTTGATATAGTCCAACAAGCTTCTTTCTTGATGCTTTTTTTATGATTATTTGTCAACAGGTTCAAAAGGCAAGGGAGCGCACCATGATTGATAATAGACTAATCGAACAAAAAAATCCATCAGAATTAGGAGATTCTTGGAATAACAATAAACATGCACAAAACAGAAGGTAGCAGACAATCTGAAGTCCTGTTGTAGAGGCAAGGACTATTATACTAACTGTTAAGTTGAACCAGAAAACAAGAGGAACAACTGGGACAAAAAAAAATGAAGATATTGAAAACTGCTTCTGCTTCTTTCAGTAGTATCAAGAGAATCACTAAGCATGTTGAAAAGTCATTACCTGAGTCTGTATGTCATCTCCAGTCACAATATTTCCCACAGTTCGAAGAGCAGGAATCAGCACTGAGGGAGATGGGTGACTGAAAAGCATACAAACAAAGTTAAGGCACAATTAAAACAACAGAATCTATTTAAACAGGCATAGTAGAACTAGTACTCACGTGAGCAGCTGCACCAATCTGGGACATACACCTGCCTCGATAACTGCTTGAATTTTGTCATTTGTGCCATCAGAAAGATATGATAATGCCCAACAAGCATCTGTCAAAACCTCTTCATCATTGGAGAAGATCAAGCGCTCAAGTGCTGGAAGTGCTGGTCTCACCTGTTCATTAAAAAATTAGCATAAGAATATGTCAAAAAAACACTATCTCAAAAGCTTAACGAACCAATAAAGAAATAAAACAAAAGCAACATTACCTGCTCAAATGGAGGTTGTGGTTTACCCCTACAAAAGTTAGATAATGTCCACGTGGCATTTCTCAACATTGAAAGTTTTGCATGCTCATTCAACTGGGCCAATAGTGGGGTGAGGGCGCCATGGCTGAGCACCAGATCTCGACACCTAGGGGAGTCACCGGCAACATTTCCCAAAGCCCAAACTGCCTAGAATTTTCAGGGAGTTAATGTCTCAGTAAAATTAAAAGGTAAGAAACATGTCTCACTCAACATTCAGCCGCTTTCAAACACATACCTGCTCCCGAACATCATCACTAGGCGAACTAAGCAGCTTGACAAATATCGGAACCGCTCCATGCTCAATGACCACCTTAGTGTTCTCAGAAGTCCCAGATGCAATGTTTGTTAGAGCCCACGCAGCCTCAAACTAAACAAACAACAATTAACATAAAGAACTAACAAATTTCAATCACAAGGAAAATAGACACGATAATTACGATGCAATGCAAAAGAGTCCTCGAACCTGAAGTTGAGGGAAATCCTCCCTGACAAGAAACTCAACAAAACGAGGAACAACACCAGCTTGAATGACTTCCTCAATCGGAGGGCTCCGTTCTAATGCATAAAATCAATAACCACATAGAACCCAAGCAATATTTGCGATTAGGCGATTAACAAATCGAATTTAGAACCAAGATATAAAAAATCAGACTTACCAATCGAAAGCAGCTTGCGAAATTGCGTGGTGGCTTCAAGTTGAAGAGTATTATCATCCGACCAAACTCCAGCAACCATCGCAGGAAGACTCTCTAGCTGCACAAATAAAAAAAATCATCAAAGTCGTTTCAACAACATAATATCAATCGCATTATCAAACCACGCGACCAAACCCTAATTCGCACAAAAGCAATAAAACAGAAAACAAAATAAATCAAAGAGTGGCGATGTACCTTCTTGTCGACAGTGGAAGTCTGAAGAGGAGCCGGAAACTGTGGTTGAGCTTGGAGACCTTCACGACGCTTCTTCTGCAAGCTCTCTTCGCGCTTGCTCTTTCGGATCTCGACCATATTATCCTCTCTTCGCCGACGACCCTCGTCAGCATCAACTGCAACCTTGTAACGGTTGCGGCGAACCTCGGTTCTGGCATTTGGCCTGAGAGACATGTTTTGGTTGAAATCGGAGGGATCAATAACAGGGAAAGGAGAATTTGAAAAACCCTAGCTAGATACTAGAATTTGGATTGGATTGAATGGGATAGTTAGGTTTATGTAATGTGAGGGTTTGGATCTTGGATCTAAACCTTCGCGCTCGATGCGGGTTATGGATCCAAGCGATGGGTCCTCAATTATAAATCATACCACACTCATAATGCGACCTAAGGTTTTAAACTTTCAACGGTCATTTCATCCGACCAGTAAATTATTTATTAATAATTTATATTTGAACTGTGCATGTGATTAAATAATGAATAAAATATATCCAACAACAGAATGAATAATATGCATTACTTAGAAAAATCAACTAAAATTTATTTATTTAAAATCTCAACAAATATATTTCATTTGTTGAACTTAAAAAAACAAAGTGAAAAGTTACTATAATATGAAATTTTGATTCGTTTTTAATGTTAATGGAATAATACAAGAACATTAAACTATAAAATAAAAACAATACATATTTTTGCAATGTGTGCACATTTATAGTTTGCAACAAATCCTTAGTTATCTATATTTAACTCAAAGTTTCACCTTAAAAAAATCAAAATAAAATATAAAATATAAATTTATCGTTTGATCATGCCAATATTTCATAACAAAGGCGTTTTAAGATTTTATTTCGTCATGTAAAGCCATAATTTTGTTCTTTGTTAATTAAAATATTACCATAGTAATTTATTTAACTTTTTGTGAAGAGATTGAAGTAAAGATATTATCTTTTTAATTAATCGATTATTTGAACAAATTAATTCTTCCAAGATACATTATTTTGTGACATCACTTCAATTTTCTAAAGTAGCAATTTGAGAATTACGCTTCCCTAGTTAATTTAGTTAACTTGTAATTTATTTCATTAATAATTCGTAATTTGATTAAAATAAAAAACATTTAATAAACGAATTTATTTTAATAGTTTATAATAATATTACCCAAAGTTAAAAAGTGTTAAAATAAACTTAATGTGATGATTCGAAAAATAAAATAGATTTGATCATAATATTTGTCCTTTAAATTGAGTCAAATCTATTTTTATTTGGTTCATTTTGATCATAACTATATGTAAGATTAATCCATACATTAATAATAATAAAAAAATTAATATTATTTTATTAATATATATATATATATTATAAGTTAATTTGATAAAAGATTTATTTATTAAAAATAAATATCAAAATAAATCTCTAATAATTATTTATTTTTAAATTTAATGGTTAAAATTAATTATAATTTTAAATTAATAAATTACTAAATAAATTATGATAATAAAAAATAAATTTTTAATTCTTATATTTAAGGTTGAAAAAATATATTATTTTATAATTTATATATTAAATTATTATATATCAAATAAAAACTAATTTTATTAATATAATTTAAATTTTAAAAAAAGTAATTAATTGTTTTGATATAAATATATTATTATTTTTTTCAATTGAGTCAAAATTAATACGTTAATCATTAACTTATAATTACGTCAGATTAATTTAAAAATTATAATTAATTTTAAAATATAAATCAAAGGGTCATATTTTTTTTCTTATTTTCTTATTGTACTTAATCTAACTTGGTCTAGATTAAAATATCATTTTACATAACTTATAATATTATATATATATATATATATATATATATATATATATATATATATATATATATTCAGCAAATACTTGTAAGAAACTTTATCACTTGTCTCTCATTAAATTTATTTTAACTAAACTTATGTAACAAAGTCAAGTTATTTAAATGGTTTTTTTGTAAAAAAATTAAAATTAACAGAAAAACTACATTTTTTGTTTTTACCTCTATCAATTAACTTCATAACTAAATTTAATAAAAGAATATTTCCATTTCATTAAATTAACATATTTTTACCTCTTTCATTCTTTGATGCCATTTCGATTTATTCAGTATTTTAGTCTCCATATATAAAAAATCCGTAATTTTGATTTAGTCTCCAATTATACGTTCATTTTTTTCAATTTTTTCAATTCTAATTAATTAAATTATTTTTATAGTATCTTAAATTAATCTAAAATAAACGAAATAAATGTACATAAAATTATAAACTTGACCAAAATTACTGATTATAAAATTATGCATACTAAAATTGTAAAAAAAAAAGTCGTTAAAAAAAAGTAAAATTCTTCGATAAAAAAAAAAAACAAACTTTTAGTTGGCTGGTCTTTTATTTTTGAAAAGGTATAAGCTATTTATAAATATCCAAACAACACGAACTTGTAATCTAGTTGTTTTTTTGGTCCAAGCCATTTTTCAGTGTTCAAATGTTATATATTTATGTATATATGTCATCTACATTAGACAAAAGTTCTGTTTTGATGGTCGAAATATGCACATTTTCTCAAACATTAACGTTACGAATAAAGTTACTACAAAATCAACTCGTGTGTATAAACGCTCTTTTTCCACTTCCCAATTTATTTGCATCCTTTCTTTTGTTGTTCCTTTAGCCTTGACCTACCCAGAGGCTGAAAAATTATACTTTCCCACAAGTTCACACAAAGGTGTAGCTTTTATCAAAAGGAGATGGAAATACAGATAATGGGGGCTCTCTAGTTCTGGGGTTCTCCCGAGTAACAGTAGTGATTTGTGGTTGAGATCCTCTTGGTGGAGAAGCATGGAGAGCAGAGGTCACAAGCACCTCCCTTCGAACATTTTCTTGCTCTTGTGATATTCTTAGTGCACGTAGTGCTGTTAGGTATAAAGCAGAAGCTAGGAAAACCGTGGTTAAAGCAAACACCCCTGCAGCACAGAACAATCCTTCTCTGATACTTATGCAACTGGGTTTAGGCTTCCACCAATTCTTCAGATGCCCTGACTCGACAGTCACTCCTGCCAACAACAGAATCTCCCCAACTGCAAAGCAAATCCTACAACACATACAACTGCTTAAGTGTGACATCTTAATTTGAGAAAACAGATAGATTATGCTGAAAAGAATGAAATTAAGAGAGAAGTTATTACACAGTTTAGAATCATCACATGTGCATAGTTTTCATCAATCTTTGTGTTACATGAAACTGATATTTTCAACATGCAAGAAAGAGTTACTAAAATTTGATTACATACCACGTAAAAATTGGTCAAGACATGATTATGTGGCGGTACCAACCTAGGACCATGAGATAATCTCTTGAATAAGAATCTATTTGTTATTTAATTGGTGGAAAAATAACACAACTTGTGACTTTTTTCTTACCAAGTTGTAACGAAGAAGAACCCAGCTTGCCATGTTAATGATTTGGCAGAAGCAGAATCAGGATTCAAGGTAAGTAAAGCAGGAGATGAATTACTAATTGCGATCAACATATAAGTGTGCTCCATCAATATGGCAAATGCGAGTCCAATGAAAGCACAAGAAGCGCATAGCAATGGCATTTTCCCACTACCACTGTAAACACATTCTGATTTACTTCCCTTTCCCTTTTCAGCTGTGCTCATCCACATCACCTGCCATATGAACTCCACAAAATCGGAAACAAAGCTCATTTCTTTTCATTGTCTTTGGAGTAGCTGACAGATATGAAATTTTCATACATATTAACTAAACCAGTACCTTAGAACGTGTGGCTTCTGCTATGAGACATAGAATGAAGCAGAATAGGCCCAATAGGATTGTGAGAACCATAAGAAAGACACCTGTTTTGCCACTCAAATCAGTTTTTCTTCGCCTTGGTTCAAGGTCAGCATGTGTGACTGCCATTAGTTCAGGAGAAACACAATTCACACAACAGTTTTTATGTTTGGAGTTACATTTTATGTTATGCAAGAGATATTTGGAAAGAATAAAGGAAGAGTAACAGGATTGCTTGGAACAAAGGTTACTTAAAGGCCAGAGATTCCCATGTTGTAGGATTTAATACTAGGCATTCACACAAGGGAAATTGTACAATTAATTATGAGCACTAAAAGGCTAACTTTGAAGGGTACTATGAGATGAGGATAAAGCTTGTGCTGATGAATCATGATATAAGGAAACCCGTGAAACAATAGAATCTTTACTCCCCCAAAGTATACAAGCCTTTCAGTCAATTCACACTTTGTAAAATGTTTACAAAGCCAGAGAACATTTGTGCATGCATTGCTCTTAAAAGGTATTGCCAAGTACTAAGTATGAACCGTGCTAAATCATTTTTTGATACTGCTTCTAAGATTGATGTGCTCAATTTCAAGCTTTGTGATATAATGATACCGTAGAATCTTTGTCACTTGGAAGTTATGATTAAAAAACAATGAGAACCGAACACTCTTTATTATTTCTCTCTTATCTCTTCTTATTATGGCGTTATATGGTCTATTAAGCAAATATTTTTCCATTTATTTATTGATCACTAGATGTTAAATAGTTAACAAGGTGCCCAAATTTTATTTTTCTAAGATTAATGTGTATTTTTAAATTTTTGATGAAGATATCTGTTTGAAAGAAAAGGAATAGAGGCCAAAACCGAGTAATTCGCACTTCCTTTCTGCAAATGTTAGTTAAAATTAAAATATTAGAAAGTTGAATGATTCTTTGTTTCAGATATGGGTAGAGAAATATTAATATGGACGGTCTATTATTCTTTTCTAGAACTTTATATTCTTCGTGGATGGCTTCAAGTGTAGGGCATAGGTACAAAATTTTTTTTGAAAGGGCTCTTACGAAGTGGAATTGTTTCTGGTGGAATTTCGATCGATTCCGATTCTTAAGAGATTTTGTTCTAACCAAAACTCAACCACGCAAGTTCTTTTTACTTAGGCTAACAAATGTTTTTTCAATCGAAATGTATATGAGAATCGAAAATATCACAATATCGAGAAAATCCCACTAACGTGTCATGACTTATCGAAAGCACTATTTTTGGTATTTTGTATTTATAGTACTCGAAGAGAAAAAGACAGTAAAATATCAAATAAAAAAAGCAGTACCGAATATTAAATTGCGAAGAAATGTAAAGTACGGAAACCTTAAACTTGCATTAAGTGTAAACGACAAGGAATCGAAATTGCGGAACTAACGAGAAATCGAGATTGCAGAAATGTAAATAGCAAGAAATCGAAATACGCAGAAAAAGTAAACAACTGGAAATCGAATTTGCATCGAAGTTAAAGGACAAGAAATTTAAATGCAGAAAACTTAACCTCCATTAAACTGAAATTGACCAGGAATCGAAAACACAGAAACTTAAAGTTGCTAAACATAAAATGCATCAAAGTAAATTACCAAGGAAAATAAAGAAAGCGGTAAAGGTACTCAATGAGCGTGGAAATCCAGATCGCCAGAAACTTCATGATGTTCGTCGTTCTCCGGTAGACTTCTCACTAGTATTTCTGTTCTCTGCCAATTTTCCACCCCCCCTCTCTCATCTTTCGCTCTATTTATAGAATGTCTTTTCAAGTAGTTTCTTAAGAGCAGTTAATGAAAACTGCTACCACGTTCTCTGTGCACGTCTTTTTGCAGTTTTGCTCCTAGCTCTATGGTTTAGAAACTGCATCCACGTTCCCATGCATGAGGTAACTGTTCCCTTGACCTTCGGCCTTTGCCACCGCTTACTATGTTCGATGTATACGTCGACTGTTCTTTTTAGCCAAAATTTCGATATTCGCGTATGTTAGCCTTCACTTCGATTTAGACTTCGAGACTTCGAGAGTTTTGGATTGCTTTTGATTCTCGGTATCCTTAACGTTACATGATTTTGATTTCTTGATTTTCTTCACCAATGGACGTTAAGCGTTATTCCCTCGATTCTCGATTTCAATACTCGATATGTTTTTATCTTTGTGGTCACCAGGTGTCTTGTCAATTTTATCGATTTTTCAATCAATTGTATAGTTCTCGATTTTTGTTTCCCTTCACTTTTTCGATCTTTTTATTGATCTCTTACTAACAAAATGCCCCCTTGGAAGAATATAAATAGTTTTCGTTTATATTCTTTCAACACGATTCCCGCCTTCGCTTATTGGAGGCCCACAATAATCTAGGGTTTAGGGTTTATGGGATTTTTAGGGTTTATGGGGTTTTAGGGTTTTTCTACTTTATGTTACCATCACGTAAGTCTGCTGCCTCACCGTACACGCCACATTAATTGCCCTCGCTACCGTCGTTTCCAACACCCTAGGTAGTTTTCCCTTTTAAACTCTATTGGTTTTTTACCCTGGCTTTTTACGCGAACTTTAACCCTTTGCAACTTCATCTTCTACCTGCGCTTTTGCCTTCATCCTTGCACCTCCCCTGTTTTCCTTTAAGCTACCAAGAATCGAAATGACAACCTCTTCCAAATCTTCCGACTTTTCGCCCCACCCCTTCCCTTATTGGCGTCTAGCCTGCTGGAGATTAATAATCGAAGTTTGCTCCAGTTCCTTTAATGGAGGAAGCTTCTCGAAAGTCGCGAGACGCGATGTACTCATCCCTTATTCTGCGATGGTATAAATTTTGCTTTTGGGGGTCCTATTCATTCTAGTGGTGGAACTTTTTCATCCCTCAACCTCTCGAATAGCCGGGCTCTTATTCACCAAGCTCGAAGTTCGGACCGATTTTTTGAATATGGTTTCTAAAGTATATCAAACGGGCCCCCTTTCAAAAAACCCTCGTATATTAGGTGGTTTGATCGAGTGCAAACCAAGTTTGGGAACCATTGGAGGGATGTGGGGATTTTTGATTTCTTGCATTTGTCCGGATGCGACTTGTCTCATTTAGATATGACTATGTTTTTATCTCGTCGTGCATCTATGGAATAAGGACTTGCATGCTTTGGAGTTACCTTGCGGTCCCTATTCGCCCACCCTCTTTGAGATTGCTTGCTATTACCGGTTTGAAACCCACCTGGGAAAAGTATTATAAGGGTGCTTACCCTTCGGATAATTCTCTAAGGTCCAAAGTCGATTGGGAATCGAAAGCTTATGGCCACTTTCTCGAGAAACATTTTATCGATGACCCAACAATTGCCGTTTCGATGAGGAGCACGTGGCCTTCTTGGTCTACCTGGTTGTGCACTCATGTTTTCTCGCCTTCGATCGATCCAAATTTCCTCCCACCTCTACCACCTTGCCTACCTTCTTCATACTGGCCAGCCTAGGATATGTCTAGCCAAACTTTTGTTAGCCCATGTATATACTGCACTCGATGAGGCTGTCGAGATTTTGAGTACCCCCAAAGATTCGGGAAATTTTTCTGGCCCTATTTGGTTTATACAGTTATGGATGAATTCAATTTTTGAGAGTATCCTTCCCCCAACTTCCACCGTCCCCCCAAGTGTAAATATGGAAGGTGCTCGATTGTCTTCTCGCCACCCTCACCACAAGCCCGACGAAATGGCTTATTGTAGATATCTTAAATTTTTGCTAACTAGGTTTAATTTCGACTCAACTTTGGCTCCTTTTACTGTGCATCTTGGAAGAATTAGTGACCAACTTTGAGGGCCAATCTGGTTTAAGTCAAAATTCCCTGCTTCAACCCCTGGGTTACAATCAGAGTTGGTCGATGTATAGAGTAATTATTTAACTCAGGATGTACTAGTATCGGGTTTCCAATCTAAGGATTTTAAGCTTATCACATACTACCCTCAACTTTTTTCGAGACAGTTTGGTTTGAGCCAATCTTTACCCTTCTTCCCCCTTGATACCTCCCCAAGGTCCAAGTTAAGTGAATCGACAATCGGACGGGAGCTGACAAAACTATTACCACAAATCCCACTACTTTTTATCCTTATGCTTTCGAATCGAATTATTTATCCACTGTGGGTTTCTCTCAATGGTGGGCCGATTGGTTCTCGAGTAATCATTCTGCTTTTGACGAAGTCCGACAAAAATTGATCTCGCTCATCCTTCTCTTGTGTTGCGGGACAAATCGAAAGCGAAGAAAGG